TTACCATAATGTCAGTATCCCGTCTGAATGTCATCATCACTCAAGAGTCAAGGGAAGAACCAAATGCTTCATATAAACAGGACTGGGCAGGGAGTGTCAGTTTCCACTGTTTTCTGTCTCCATTCAGATCATTCCTATCAAAGCCCAGCTGGTTATCTGAAGCCAAGAGACAGACATAAGTATACCAATGGCCTCCAGACACCTGCTTCCACCTCCTACCTGGGCCACGTAGACTCTTTACACAGGAGAGTGAGTCACCCCACTCAGAAGGGTTGTCAGCAGAAACAGGGCATGAAAATCACAGATAACCATGGCGTTTCTTCCAAGTGTTCAGTGTAAAACAAACCACCACCACCAACAAAAACACCTAACAAGCAAAAAAATGCTTAATCAAAATCCAAGACAAAATGCTGAGTGAGAGGCAGGCCATGTGGTTGCATGTTCTCAGGCCACACAGCTTTCCCAGTCCATTTGCTCACATGGAACCATGAGATGTGAAGGTCTCCAGAGTGTGTGGTCAGGATCGAGGCTGCTACTGTTCACCTGTGGGTCCAGACAATAGGGCAAAGAAGTAGAAAGCTGCAACTCTGTCCACCACCACGGCTTATGCCCTCCTTCCCACAGAGGCTCTGAAGAGCCCCCATTTCAGCCTTCACACAAAACATCTCCTTCTGAATCACCACAGCCAGGCTGGAGTGCCGTGGCATCGTCTCTCCTCACTACAGCCTCTGCCTCCCGGGTTCAAGTGATTCAGCCTCCCAAGTACCTAGGATTACAGGCACCTGCCACCATGCCCAGCTAATTTTTTTTTTTTTTTTTTTGTATTCTTGGTAGAAACAGGGTTTCACCATGTTGGCCAGGTTGGTTTTGTTGTCCTGACCTCAAGTAATCCAAAGTGTTGGGATTACAGGCATGAGCCACTGCTACTGGCCCAGGACCCATTTAAAAAAAATAATAATTTCTACTTTTATTTTAGATTCAGGGGGTACATGTGCAGGTTTGTTACATGGGTATATTGTGTGATGCTGAGGTTTGGGGCACAAATGATCTCATCACTCAGGCAGTGAGCATAGCACCCAATAGGTAGTTTTTCAGCCCTTTCAACCCTCCTTCTCTCTTCCCTCTAGTAGTTGCAGTGTCTACTCTTCCCATCTTTATACCCATGTATACCCAATGCTCAGCTCGCACTTATAGATGAGAACGTGATATTTGGTTTTCTGTTCCTATGTTAATTTGCTTAGGATTATGGTCTCCACCTCCATCCATGTTGCTGCAAATAACATGATTTCATTCTTTTCATGGCTGCATAGTATTCCACTGTGTATATGTACCACATTTCCTTTATCCAGTCTACCGCTGATGGCCACCTAGGTTGATTCCATGGTTTTGCTACGGTGAATAGTGCTGTTACGGATATGCAAGAGCAACTCTTTTTGGCAGAACAATTATTTTCCTTCGGGTAAATGCCCAGTAAAGGAATGCTGGGTGGAATCATAGTTCTGTTTTAAATTATTTCAGAAATCTCCAAAGTGCTTTCTGCATTACTTTTTCCATGAACTAATTTACACTCGGGCCAACAGTGTACACACGTTCCCTTTCCTCTGCAGCCTCAACAGCATCTTCCATTTTTTTGACATTTTAATAATAGCCACCCTGCAGCCAAGCTCTTTCAAGGCCAATGTGGGGAAGAGCCACAAATCTCCCTTTTCTCGAACAGAATTATTGCCTGAACACTGGTAGAGTTCTTGAATTCATCTGTCTCTCGTTGTTTGGTTTTCATAGAAAAACCAAAGGTAAAGTAGTATGACATTCCACACCTGAACCAGTTTGTAGCCACCAGAGCCTGCTGGGAAGGGTCCCTCAAGCATGCATTGATCTTGTCACCTAGAATTTGAGAGATCAAGAAGCCAGATAGCAAACGACCATACAACTGCCCATCAGCGCCCATCCTTTCACAGGATTAGCTCAATTCTGGCTCTGCAGACACTGGCAGCCACACGTCACAAACCCTGGGTCTCTGTGGGCTTCCCTCATCACCCAGGGCCACAATGGGCTGCCTGTCCTAGGCAGAGACACAGCAACATTTTCTTAAACTGAAATGAGGCATAAATTCCCTTCACCAATAATCATCTGAGGGCACAGTCCCTGCCTCCTTCCTTGGAGATTTTAAAACACACATCTCTCTGAACAAACAGGTAGGTGAGTCTGACTTTAAATGGAGGAAAATCGGGATGAATTGGGGTATCAGGAATGAATCCCCAAGTGTTTTTGTGTTGGGACAAGCATCCACATCCCAAACTGTACCTGGAGATGGAGAAAAATGCAGGAGAGAAGACAAAAAATGGGGGACAAAGTGATTGAAAGTCATTGAAAGCTTCTCTCATGGTTCTTTCCAGCTCTGGTTGCTGTGCCAAGGTCTTGAGTGCAGGGAGGGCCGGCTCTGGCTGGGAGCTGTTGCTTTGGGAGATGGAAGTGTCACTTTACCTCCAGAAAACTCATTCAATCATCTGTAAAATGATCATTTGATCATCTGTAAAATGTAAAATCCCAAGGTGGTTGTGATGATAAAGTGAAAAAAGCATTCTTAACTTATATGAGTTACCTGCTGTATAGTAAGTTACGTGGTATATAGTAAGCACACAGATATGATTCACTGTTATCATAATTGAAGGACAGTGGTTTGGTTTGCTAAGCACTAAACACAAGACAGAAAGGTATCTTAGAGAAGTAGACAAAGAAATCTATAGTTCAGAATGAACAGTACCAAGAATGGCATGTTCTCCAAATTGAGCTTCGGCAGCTGGATCTGAGCCTATCCTACACACCCGAGTCTACAGTATGAGGTAACAGTCTCCACCTACAGCTACATTCTCTGCCTGCAAGGTCATTCCTTTTTGAAGAAAGATGACCCCAGAATGTACTGTGATCATTTAAGGAAGAGCACAAAATACTGGAGAAGGCTAGTCTTCAAGCTCTAGATACAGAAAATCCTCATATTTATGGCTGTTACTTTTCAGACAGAGAGTCAGAGCCACAAGCACTAATCCAAAAACCTCCTTTTCCAAAAATTTTTTCCATCTTCTACCAAGGTTCACCTCCGTGTTTAATGCACACTGGTGTCTACAGTTGCTAGAACAAGAGTCTCTCCCTATCCTCTAAGGCAGGAGTTCTATGACCCATCCAGGCCATGACAGCCATGTAGATGACACACCTCTCTGGTCAGGCATAACTGGCCAAGCCTGAGATAGCCAGGTTTTGGAGCATTGATAATATGGGCTTTTCCTTTGTTGTCCCTAAATATGTTGTTTCATTTTGTCCCCTTGTCATGGGGGGACTCAGAAATTTGGTGGTGCAATTGGACAGGGCCGGGGGCTAGAGGGAGGAAGCAAATGGAAACCATTTAGAGGGGGTACAGGTAGAGAGGGTATCTCTGAGCAGTGGATCTCCTGGCTGTGGGGAAGCTGGCTCGGCGGCCATGCCAGGAGCTAAACCCAGAGGTTCTCTGTGTGTCCTCTGAACTCCTCGGGCTCCACTTTGGCATTTTCTCCAATTGTCTCTGGTTTCCATTTGCTTCCTCCCTCTAGCCCCCTGGCCATGTTCAATTGCACCACCAAATTTCTGAGTTTTCTCGTTTTGTTCCCCATCTCCAGAACATAACTGTTTCCTTTACCTTTCAAGGAATTCAAACTTGAGCTCTGCTCACTCCTGCCCATCACCAACCTGAGCTCAGAGTTGCTGAGAAGAGAAAGCACCCTCATAAGGAAGCTCCTCCTTTCTTTACATCATTAGACTTGAGCGCAGACAACATCTCCATCTCCACACTGCTTTGGCCAAGTTATGCCTCAGTCAATTACACAACTGTGTCTTAGTAGCCTTGGTAGGGCCCAAATCAGGATATTCTCTGAGAAGATTCACTTTGTACTGAGCCCAGCATAATCTCACTGCATCTAAAATAGAAAATTCTAGACCCACCCCTCCACATCTTCTTTACTGAACCCAATATGTGACTCAATTACCATGTGCTTATATCTCTACCTACTGCTCATTCTCAGATCAGATCATAACCCAGGTTTACCATGGTCCAAACTCTGATATCTGATCAGGGGCATGTCATTCTGGTTAATGCTGTCAGCCCCGAACAGGTGGGTCACTTTGCATCATGCTGAGTGCAGGTTGCCAGGGCCACCGTGAGGTTGCATAAAAAGAACCTATGACAGGATGCACATGAGACAGACAAATGTCTTCACATTGAAAAAGGGGAGGAGTGCACCATTGTTTTTCCATCCTCCAAATGTACTGAGTAAGCTCCTACCTACCCTGTGCCCCCTGCTTCTTTGAAACACTTCCCATCCTTGAGCCTTAGTAGGAAGGAGAACCACCTGGAAGCCCAGAATCGTATAGAATGTTGAGTCTCCCTTCTCCTTACCCCTTCGTGTTGGAATTCTCGTTCCCCAAAGTCTTGGATTTGACCTTCCCACACACTGACTAGAGAGAAGCATCTTCATGTTCACAGGAATAGGCCTTAGATAAGACTTTGCTCCTCTCATTGGGGCTCCAGGACACTGAAAAGCCAAGCTTGTTACCAACGCTTGCCCTTCCTTAAGTACATTAAATACATCCCCAATAGTTAAAAGGATTCTTAAACAGCCAGGCCATTCTTCCTCCTTCTAACCCTCATCTCCTTGGCCTAAGAAAGCCCAGCTGTGTGATCCGGGCTTTGGCTTCCCCTGTCTTCCCCATCCCAGCATCCTTGCAGGAAACAGCCGGTCTCCCTCTCTGCTCTGAGAAGGCAAGTTTCCTTATCACCTGTGAATCACAAACCCACAGAGTGGCCAAACATAGCCGAGCTGATGCAAGACCCGGGGAAGGGGAAAGCTGCAGGTGTGTTTGTACTGCGAGGAAACTGTACTGTGACCCTCATCTCACAGACACTTCCTCTTCCGATCCTCGGGAGGTATAAAGATGGGCCTTCCACCACCAGTCAGGCACTCTCTACCATCATGAATCCACTCCTGATCTTTGCCTTTGTGGGAGCTACTGGTGAGTTTCATGCCCTGTCTCAGGCCCCACCCACCATCCTTCCTGGCAGACACATGCCTTTCCATTCTTGCTACCTCTCCTCTTTTGACGTGCTCTGATATTGTATTTCCTCCATCTGGTTTCTCTACTTCCCATCCTCCTTGGGCTCTCTTTAAGCCTCACCTGTTTCACCTTCTCCCTGACTTCACTCCCACCACTGTCATTCATCCATATCTGCACTGTGGTTGGTAAAACTGGGAGACCAGGTGGGGCTGGCCCATGAAATGAAGCAGCAGTCTTCAGGCTTGGCTCCGACAGCAGCAGAATAGCACCACTATACCTGCTCTTAACCTCGAATGCACCTGGGGAGGTTGAAAAATTACTGATGCCAGAGACTAAACTCTAGAAGTTCTAACTTCATGTTTCTGGGGGTGTAGCCTGTGTACTAAGCTTTTAAGCTTCCTAGGTGATTTTTAACATTCCAGGCATGCAGCCAAGGTTAAGAATTGCTGTTCTATTGGCCAATAACAACATCTACCTATGTTCTTCCGAAGTGAACCTGGGGGCTGCTGTCACCTCTGCCGTGATTCACATATCTGAGCTGACGGGGAACCTGGTCATGGCCAGGTCTAGACAGCCAAGGGGTTTTCCTAGCTTGGGGAAAGTATCCTGACAATCCAGGGCTCAAATTGCCAGAGGAAGTGCACAGGCGATCAATAAAAGAGAGAAGCATACAGTGGGTGATCAACCACATCCCAACTCCAATCCCACTGGAAGCACTGTGAGGACATTCCTTGAGACCTCAGCCTGGTTATCCCAGGAAAGACCTGAGCCCCCACTGGGCACCTATCTATATACCCTGCAGACACAAAGACTTGGGAGCCACATCCAGTGATGCTCACCAGGGGTGGCAGTGCTCCCTCTCTTGCCTAGCCTCACTGTGCTTGTTAAGTATTTCTAATTAGCAGAAAGCAACCACAGGCTAGGAGCACTACCCCTAATATGCCACTAAGATGCCTTCTCCCTTCCCATCTCCACTCCAGTTGCTGCCCCCTTTGACGATGATGACAAGATCGTTGGGGGCTACACCTGTGAAGAGAATTCTCTCCCTTACCAGGTGTCGCTGAATTCTGGCTCCCACTTCTGCCGTGGCTCCCTCATTAACAAACAGTGGGTGGTGTCAGCAGATCACTGCTACAAGCCATAAGTGTGGGGCCCCTGACTGCAAAGCTCTCAGCCAGGCTGCCTGGGCAAGCTTGGCTTCAGCCCAGGGAAGTACTGAGGTTGGGTAAGATGGAGGGGAAAGGTGGTGGAGAAGAAAACTTGTTGGCAGCAGCTGACTGTCCAGAGCAGAGAGTGAACACAAGACAGGAACCTCTCACACCCCGGCAAATCCATGAAACAGCAAGGGTTGTGGTCATAAAAGCAGGCAGGAATGATCTTGGAGTGGACTGAGCTAGTGAGAAAAGCAGGCAAGTACTTTTGCTGGTTAGCTACACATTAAAGTCACCTAAGAAAGAGTTTTTAAAAATACTGATGCCTATGTCCTATCCCAGGGCAATTAACTTAAAATTTCCAGGAAGAAGGTGTGAATATCAGTGAGTATTTCACACTCTACCTCTGGTAACTGTAGAGTGTATAGACAGAGCTGAGAACCACTGCCTACACCAAGAACTCTCAAACATGAGTATGCATCAGAACCACCTGCAGGCTTGTTAAGGCACAAATCACTGGGTCCCATCCCCAACATTCTGATCAGTAGGTGTGGGTAAGAACCAAGAATTTACATTTCTAACAAGTTCCCAGGAGATGCTAATGCTATGGATACCCTTGGATTAGATTACACAGAAGGGTGGTGCTCACCAGGACAAGAAGGGAGGGAGGAACAGGCACTGTGCACAACTAGCAAACACCTGGGGTGAAGAATGCTGGGAAAATGTCAAGTAGCTCCTTGTGCCCACAGTGCTATTGACTATGGAGATTGTGGGAAAGAGACTGGGTTGAGGAGCAGCCTCTGGTGGGATCACTTTGACTCTTCCCCAACCAACTACCACCAACAGCTGGAACAGAAAGGTCCTGGGTCTCATACCTATACTGACCCACATCCCTCTCCTACCCATGCGATATGGCTACACACCCAACACAAGCCTCCTGACCTGTCCATAAACAGGGAGCTTGAGGATGCTGGGGAAGGTGGGATGGGTGCCCCGACTGTGGGAGAAGGTCTTCACCATGCCTGCCCTGCCCATCAGCCGCATCCAGGTGAGACTGGGAGAGCACAATATCAAAGTCCTGGGGGGGAATGAGCAGTTCATCCATGCAGCCAAGATCATCTGCCACCCCAAATACAACAATGAGACTCTGAACAATGACATCATGCTGGTCAAACTCTCAACACCTGCCATCATCAATGCCCGTGTGTCCACCATCTCTCTGCCCTCTGCCCTTGCAGCCGCTGGCACTGAGTGCCTCATCTCTGGCTGGGGCAACACTCTGAGCTTTGGTGGTGTGTGGGACCCTTTGTCCTTCTACTTCCCTCCATCCTCACAATTTGCAGAACAAAGCATGCCATTTACCTTGAATCCTCTCACTTCCAGGCTTAAAACACATTTCCAGTGACCATTACACACAGGCTCTGCACTGGGCACAAGAGAGATGCAAAGTCTCAAGGACTTGGCCCCTAAAATCAAAAGACAGGACAAATGGAGAACTTGCTATAATCACGTCTTGGGAGGGGCTCAACAATGATCATGTTGGGAACTAAAAGCCAGAGTCCCTTGCAGGACTTATGTTTTGGAGTCCTGTCCAGGGCAGTGTTCCTCTTCAATGTTCCATCCTAGATTATTGTCTCCTTCTAAAGCCTGACCCACATTTCTACTTTATTGATCTCTTCCTGATCCTCACAGCCGACTACCCAGATGAGCTGCAGTGCCTGGATGCTCCTGTGCTGACCCAGGCTAAGTGTGAAGCCTCCTACCCTGGAAAGATTACCAGCAACATGTTCTATGTGGGCTTCCTTGAGGGAGGCAAGGATTCCTGCCAGGTGATTTGAACAACCCTTCCCATGCTGAGGCTCCCACCAATACCCAGGCCCCACCTGGGAAAAAGATTTGAACTCCCAAGGTGGGAGGCTAAGGAGCCTCCCTGCCGTGCCCCCATGGAGAAGTGAGGAAGGCTCCCTTGGGCTGCATGCTGTCTGCGTAGGAAGAACAGAGAACGGGCCACCGTGAGAAGGACGTGGAGCCACAGAGCTGCCTGGAAAGGGATCTTTTAATGTTCAGAGTAAATGTAACTATTTTCCTCCTCCATCTCTCTCTTCATACAACTTCTCCCTTCTCCCCAGCGTGACTCTGGTGGCCCTGTGGTCTGCAATGGACAGCTCCAAGGAGTTGTCTCCTGGGGCTATGGCTGCGCCCGGAAGAATAGGCCTGGAGTCTACACCAAGGTCTACAACTATGTGGACTGGATTAAGGACACCATAGCAGCCAACAGCTAAAGCCCCCGGTCCCTCTGCAGTCTCAATACCAATAAAGTGACCCTGCTCTCACTGTCTGTGTCTGTGCCTGCTGCCTCACACTCCACACTGGAAAGCATCCTCCAGTCTCAGGTCAGACAGGGCTGTCTCCCTTAAATATAAGCAGAGCCCCCAGCTCCCAAAATGTGTTCCATGGTACACTTGATTAGCACATACAAAGAGATGGAATCCAAAAATAATAAGAAGCTTGGGTGAAAGCAGGGCACTGTTTTCCAGAGGAAAGAGTGTTTCAGAAGGTGGTCTTTAGGGGGGCATTGATTTTTATTTGGGTTCTCACAGTGGTTACAACTACTCTGCCTTCAGAACAATCACAGCACAGAAAATGTGTCAGCATCTTCGAGGTGGCCCAAAAAATCTGACCAGCTGAATCTTATTGCTAACATACAACAATAATGACAAACGCTGTTGGTGATGACATGCCTCTCCCAGGAAAGTGTTGGCACCAAGCCCTGGACCAAGCCTGCCCTTCTCATTCACCTGGAAAATCAGACTCAAGTAAATCTCCCTGGACCCCTAACTCTTCCCTCAATTCCCTAGTTCCATCTCTGTGAACAGGCTAGAGAGATGTCCAGCCTACCATAGTAGGAGCCAGACTGAGACTTGGGAATCAAGCCCAGTTCTGCACACTTTATTTTTGTCTTCTTTGCCTTTGGGGTAGGACGCCACAGTGAATCCCACAGCTAACACCAGCTCCCTACTCTGACCAGGGAAAGAAACTAGAGAGGGTCAGGATTCACCCATTTGATCAATTAACTGAGGAAGGATTCATTTTCAAAAAACTTGCTTGCCATTGAAACACTTCAAGTGAGTTATTTGAGAATCTTTTAAAAAGGTGGCTGGAAAGACATCTGAGGGCTGTGACACCATCCAGCCACTCTGATCACATGTTGACTGGTCTGTACCCACTGGATGCAGCAGCGGGAGGCAGGCCCCGCGGCATGTGTGGCACCTGCCAAAGCCCCCTCCTGGCAATTCTGAGAGGGCCCATGTTGGGGCCATAGCTCGTCCAAGCTCGTCACTGCAGATCCAAGCAAGTTTCTCTTTGAAATTCCACCTTCACCATCTGTCCCAAGCAGTTGTGGACACCCCTGGGAGCTGGTACCAAGGGCCAGGAGCAGCCAGGGGAGACAGACAAGTACAGAACACAATTCTAGTTAGTGAACAGAGCTCAGGCCTCCAAGTGTCCATGGAGCAGCGTGCAAATTGCAGTGATGAGTAGAGTGAAACTTCTACACGGAGCACAGCTTTCCTGGCAAACACAGGGGACTGCAGTCCACATGCTGTGGAATATACCCAAGTAAGCATCAGACACTTGTTTGGTAAACAGTAAATGTGTAAGATCAATTACCTTGAGAGGGCCATCTGTGCTCCAGATGTGTGGTTCATGTGAGGAGACTGCTACCACTCACTATCTTCAGAGGAAAACAGGGCTCAGGGCTCACACACGATGGACAGATACACACGGATCACCCAGAAATTCACTGCATACAAACATCACTTTGTTCAACATGGATTTTGTTTTCATGGAGTCCAAAGGCAGACCCTAGCTCATCTTAAAGCCTTGGGTTTGTCTGCTTTTGGAGATATACATCCAATAGATAGATACACAGAGAAGACATATACATTTTTTCCCTTTCTTACCATAATGTCAATGCCTCGCCTGAATATCATCATCACTCAAGAGTCAAGGGAGGAACTAAACACTTCATAGAAACAGGGCTGGGCAGGGAGTGTTAGTTTCCACTGTTTTCTGTCTCCATTCAGATCATTCCTATCAAAGCCCAGCTGGTTACCTGAAGCCAAGAGACAGACATAAGGATCCCAATGGCCTTCCAGACAGCTGCTTCCACCACCTACCTGGGGCACTTACACTCTTTACAGAGAAAAGTGAGTCAACCCAATCAGAAGGGTTGCCAGCAGAAACAGGGCATGAAATCATAGATAACCATGGGATTTCTTCAAAGTGGTCAGTGTAAAATAAACCACCACTACCACCACCAAAAGCACAAAACAAGCAAAAAAATGTTTATTCAAAATCCAAGACAAAATACTGTGGGAGAGCCAGGCCATGGGGTTGCCTTTTCTCAGGCCACACAGCTTTCCCAGTCCATTTGCTCACATGGAACTGTGAGATGTGAAGGTCTACAGAGCCTGTGCTTGGGATCGAGGCTGGTACTGTTCACCTGTGGGTCCAGACCAAGGACAAAGAGGCAGAAAACTGCAACTCTGTCCACCGCCATGGATTAGGCCCTCCTGCTAAGAGAGGCTCCGAAGAGCCCCCACCTCAGCCTTCACACAAAACATCTCCTTCTGGCTCAACTACAGCCAGGCTGCAGTGCCGTGGCATGGTCTCTGCTCACTACAGCCTCCACCTCCCAGGTTCAAGAGATTCAGCCTCCCAAGTAGCTGGGATTACAGGTGTGAGCCACCATGTACAGCTAATTTTTTTTTTTTTTTTAGTAGAGACAAGGTTTCACCATGTTGGCCAGGCTGGTTTTGAACTCCTGACCTGAAGTAATCCAAAGTGCTGGGAGGACAGGCGTGAGCCACTGCTCCTGGCCCAGGCTCCATTTTAAAAAAATAATTTCAACTTTCATTTTAGATTCAGCAGCTACATGTGCAGGTTTGTTACGTGGGTATATTGTGTGATGCTGAGTTTTGGGGCACAAATGATCTCATCACTCAGGCAATGAGCATAGTACCCAGTAGGTAGTTTTTCACCCTTTCCACCCTCCTTCTCTCTTCCCTCTAGTAGTTGCAGTGTCTACGGTTCCCATATTTATATCCATGTGTACCCAATGCTCAGCTCCCACTTATACATGAGAATGTGATATTTGATTTCTGTTCGTATGTTAATTTGCTTAGGATTATGGTCTCCAAATCAATCCATGTTGCTTAAAAGGACATGATTTCATTCTTTTCGTGGCTGCATAGTATTCCACGGTGTATATGTACCACATTTCCTTTATCCAGTCTAATGCTGATGGCCCCCTAAGTTCATTCCACAGCTTTGCTACTGTGAATAGTGCTGTGACGCACAAGCAAGAGCATGTGTCTTTTTGGCAGAACAATTATTTTCCTTTGGGTAAATGCCCAGTAAAGGAATTGCTGGGTAGAAAGGTAGTTCTATTTTAAATTGTTTCATAAATTTTCAAACTGCTTTCTGTATTAATTCTTCCATGAACTAATTTACACTCTGGCCAACAGTGTATAAGCGTTCCCTTTCCTCTGCAGCCTCACCAGCATCTTCTGTTTTTTTGATATTTTAATAGTAGCCACTCTGCAACCAAGCTCTTTCAAGGTGAATGTGGGGAAGAGCCACAAACATCCCTTTTCCAGAAGAGAATTCCTGCCTGCCCACTGGTAGAATTCTTGTTTTCATCAGTCTTTCATTGTTTGTTTTTCAAAGAAAAACCAAAGGTAAAGTGGTATGACCTTCCACACCTGAACCAGTTTGCAGCCACCAGAGCGTGCTGGGAAGGGGCCCCTCAAGCATGCAGTGATCTTGTCACCTGGAATTTGAGAGATCAACAAGCCCCGATAGCAACCGACCGTACAACTGCCCATCAGCACCCATCCTTTCATGGGATTTGCTCAATTCTGCCTCTGAAGACACTGGCAGCCACAGGTGACAAACCCTGGGTCCCTGTGGGCTTCCCTTCTCACCCAGGACCACAATGGGCTGCCTGCTCTAGGCAGAGACACAGCAACACTCTCTTAAACTGAAATTAAGCATAAATCCACTTCACTAATAATCATCTGAGGGCACAGTCCCTGCCTCCATCCTCTGGGATTTTAAAACACATCTCTCTGACCCAAACAGGTAGGTGAGTCTGACTTTAAAGGTTTGGATATCAGGATGAACTGAGGTATCAGGAGTGAATCCCAAGTGTTTTTGTGTGGGGACAGGCATCCACATCCCGAAATGTACCTGGAAATGGAGAAAATTGCAGGAGAGGAGAAGAGAAAGAAAAGGGGGACAAAATGGCTGAAAGTCATTGAAAGCTTCTCTCAAGGTTGTTTCTAGCTCTGGTTGCTTTGCCAAGGTCATGAGTGCAGGCAAGGCAGGCTCTGGCTGGGAGCTGCTGCTCTGGGAGATGCAAGAGTCACTTCACCTCCAGAAAGCTCATTTGATCATCTGTAAAATGGGCAATCCCATAGGTGGTTGTGATGACAAAATGAATAAAACATTCTTAACTTATATGAGTTACATGCTGTATAGGAAGTTACGTGGTATATAGTAAGCACACAGAAATGATTCACTGTTATCATAATTGAAGGACAGTGGTTTGGTGTGCTAAGCACTAAACACAAGTCAGAAAGATGTCTTGGAGAAGTAGACAAAGATACCTATAGTTCAGAATGAACAGTACCAAGATTGGCATGTCCTCCAAATTGAGCTTGGGCGGCTGGATCTGAGCCTATCCTACACATCTGAGTCTACAGTATGAGGTAACATTCTCCACCTATGTTCTCTGCCTGTAAGGTCATTCCTTTTTGAAGAAAGCTGACCTCAGACTATAGTGTGATCATTTAAGGAAGAGTGCAAAATACTGGAGAAGGCTAGCCTTCAAGCTCTAGATACAGAAATCCTCATATTCTTGGGTGTTCCCTTTCAGACAGAGAGTCAGAACCAGAAGCACAGATCCAAAATTCCCCGTTTCCAAAAACTTTTTCCACCTTCTACCAAGGTTCACCTCCCTGTTTAGTGCACACTGGTGTCTACAGTTGCTAGAGCAAGAGTCTCTCCTTATCCTCCAAGGCAGGAGTTCTGTGAAGACCCCATGACAAGGGGACAAAATGAAACAATGTGTTTAGGGACAACACAGGAAAAACCCATATTGTCAATGCTCTGAAACCCGGCTACCTCAGGCTTATCCAGTTATTCGTGAGCAGAGAAGTGTGTCATCTACACGGCGGTCATGGCCTGGATGGGTCTTGAACTGTGGCAAGGTAAGGCT